ACTTCCTCTACGCAACTGAAGACTTCTTCCTACTCACACCGTTCACTTCGTGCGTAAATTATATCTCCCCTGCATCGACGGATGTATGACGAAAATCCTGGGAAATATAGAGTGGGACTGGCGACAGAGGGAGGGGCGAGTTTGACATTTCCACGTCGAATGGGAATAGGGTTAGCAAATGAAGGTCTGTTTTTCATATCCTGTTAATTCCTCTCCCCTTCCCGAAACCTCGACGCTGACACAACGCCTAGCGTTGCTACTTTCTCGCAAACTTACTGCCGCCGAACTTCTTCAGGCAGGTTTCCTTACGCGCATCCCCCCAAAAGATCGCTTCATCCCTTCTGTCCTGGCATATATCCGAGAGATGACGCAGGATCTGGTGAAAGAAAGTCTCGTGGTAACAAAGAAATTGATCCAGGATGGACTCAACAGACACGGAGCGGACACAGCAAACTTGAACGAGATCTTCATGGGAACCGAGCGATTCGTCTCTGGACGGCCTCAACAAAGATTCACTCAGATCATGATGAAGCAAAGAAGGCACAAACTGTAATTTTTTTCTGTTCGGCACTGTTGTGGCATCCTTTTTCTGTGCAGGCAAGATACATTGACATAAAATGCAGAGTGTTCATCAAGTTGTACAAATAGATCTGAATCTCAACGAAGGAAGAAAGGAAAATAAGGAACAGGTTTATGTTCTCCAGAAATCGGTGAAAGAAGGGGGCTCTTATCTCTTCCTTCCTTGTCTCGTTCCCCTTCCTCTCCTTCCTCCCGGACCTCCCAAATGGCCGTCCCTCTCCTCCGAGCTCCTCTCCCTTCCTGTCCTGCCCTTATCTCTGCAATCTGGACAGAACCATTCTCCAGTAGGTGGATGGTCTAGGTTCACGCAAGTGAGGTGAAACCATTCGAATGGACAGTCGGGATAGTCGCAGGCGATCATCTGTAGTCAAGAGTAAACAGCAGGCTCCCATACGTAAGCGAAAGCAGGGGAAAGCTTACATCTCCAAATGAAGGGCGTTGGCACGAGCAATACAAGGTGCCATCATCCGCCTCTTCCGCCGCCTCTTCTTCGTCCACATCCTCGTCATCATCTTCGCCCAGAACTCCATTTCCACTACCCCTTCCTCTCAGCGCTCTATCCTCCGCTAAACTGCCCATTGTCCTCCCGACATTCCTATCGCTCCTCCTATTCCTGCCTCCGCCCCCAACTGCTCCTCCTCGGGTTCCACTGGCTGACGACGCTCGCTTTGGTACCCCGCCAAGCATAGCGTTTCCAGATATTGGATACATGTTTTGTACGGTAGGAAGGGACGCGCTGGTAGTGAGATGAACAGGAGTGGTTGTGCCACTTATGGTGCCCTGAGTCGTACGTGGGGGCCTTCCTGGTTTCCTCGGCACCTGAGAAGCTGTCTGAGGTTGCGGCTGTTGCATATTCTGCGGTATTCCTGGAGTTGGAGGCTGAGATGGTACCTGTGTATGGGTGATAGGAACTTGGGGAAGTGACTGATGTACGCTTTGTGTTTGAGCCAGCATCATGGGGTGAGCCGCGATTTGAGGAGCGAGAATGGGATTGATCATCATGGGATGTCCATGCCCATGGGCGGGATGCCCAGGTTGGAGGTTATGCATGCTCGGAATGGGTTGAAGGATTGTCTCCGACGGGTTTCCAAAAGGAACTGGATATTGGGTGTGTGGGGGAAGTTGGGGGATGGTGATCGGATGTGCAGGTTGAGGGACAGGCGTGGAGGTATTGGGTGTTTGTACAGGAGGTTGGATAGGAGTCGAGGCAGGAAGAGGAGAAGGGAGCGGTGCGGTTGCTGAGGCGTCTACCGCATAATAAGCATACAGTGACAGGAAGGAGTAGGAAGAGCGAGAGGATGACGCACTCTTGTTTACTGATTGACGGTTCGTAAGCTCTGGTTGCCAGTCCATTGCGTTGGTACCTGCAGTTGTTGGCGCAGCCGGAGCATTGTTCAGTCCGAGTGCAGAAGGGATAGGCTTCAAGCTTGAAGAAGGTGGGAGGAATACGACGTCTTGCATGTCATCCATCGCACCAGGGATCTTAGAAAGTTCTTTGTGTAGCCTCATCAAGTGTCGATTCAACTATCTCAGGTTTATGAGTTGGCACCCTCTCCAAAGAGGGAGAGAAAGGAGATGAGGATATGCTCACCAAATCCACTCCTCGTTTAGCGAGCATGATCTTCTCATCCTGCAGCTTCTCGCAAAGCTTATAGCTATCTTGCATCCTCTGGGTGAGGATCGCCTCCTTATTTTCTGGCATGGGCTGCAACAATCCAAGAGTCTGAAAGTGCTTTCCCATCGCTCCATCCTTCTGTGCGATTTTCGTCTTCTGCTTCGCTATCTCTCCTTCTTTGTACTTGATCTCTTCGAGGATGAATCGTACTTCTGAAGGCAAATTGTCGAGAGAAGAAACGAAGTCGTGGAGCAAGACTGCCGCGTCTTCCGCTGTGGATCCCATTCTCGGATCACTGGCAGTTGGCGTTCTTTCTTGCTTGAAGTGCGTGGGTCTGGGAGTCCTTGCTGGGAGGGATGCGGGAGGCTGACCTAATGGGATGGGCGAGTAGGAGGGGGTATCGTTGACTATGGACCTGGCTGGCTGACTTCGACGTCTCAATGGTCGTTCAATCGAAGATGCGGGTGGCAATGACACGTGACTAGGACTCCCCTTTGTCTGGTCAGCTTTCGACAATTCTGGCATGGACATTTCCCTTTTCGGCTCCATACTTGCGCGTTGAAAGTTCGGGAGCTATATGAGCGGACTGTGGATTAAAAGTTGACATTTCGCAAGATACAAAACGCAGAATTCCTTGACTAATTAACATTGAACGAGTAACTAGGTTCAAAGGCCATCAACGTCTTGTACTAGCATCATAGAACAACCACGACAGTCCATATCGAATGGTGAAAGCAACAACACTCCCAGCGATCTGCACAAGCATCATTGTTTCATTCAGCCGCTTCTCTGTCATAGATCCAAACCAGACAAGCAGAAGATTGAGGATGGTCAGGTTGGAGAAAGACGTTATCCTCCCTGACTGTTCGTCGAGGTGAAGTTTCACCATGCCCAATGTGGAAAGGAGACGCAGTGTGGAGGTTTGGAGCAGCGTTGGAGGTTTTGAGAAGTACACGAGAGACGGCTCGAGTTTCTTTGTCTTTAGATTATACCTAGCATCCATTGTCAGCGTTAGGTCATTTGGTGGTAGAGGGCGGATGAACGAACTTAGGCACACGATGTCGTGGGCATTCTACAATCCCGAAAATCTGCGGACAGCTATAGACGAAGTTGAACGCCTGAGGGATGAAGAAGAGGACGACCGTCTTGCTGAAATGGCCCAGGATACCGACGACGGAGAAAGCCATTCCGACGAAATAACAGAAGCTGTCGCCTATAAACACCCTACTCGGGTAGGCGTTGAACTTGAGGAGGGCCAAACAGAGTGCGGCTAGCGGTAGGCTGAAATAGAGCGAGAACAGGTGCCGCGAGACTTGTTGGGGTGAGCTCGCTGGAGATGAGGGGGAGAGGAAGAGTAATGAGTTGAGGGATAGCGAGACGGAAATGATTAGGGCTTGCGAGACCTTGCGTTAGTCAGAGCTTGCGCTGGAATTGGAACAGAAATACATACCTCTACCCCATTGATGCCTGCGAGAATGTTGATGGAATTTGTGCAGAAGGTCGACAGCATCGACATGTATAGATAATAAATTGGGCCTGTCAATCATCCATTCAGCAATCAAGATTCAAAGAAACCGTAGCTCGATCCGATGCGAAAGGGTCAGTTATGTTTTATGCAGCCAAATATAATCATCGTGAAAACTAAGAGCTTGACTCTAGAATTTCTTTGGCTAAAATATCATCATGTTCGCAGCCTGACTTTGAATGAGTCCAATGAATTAAATGAAATCTCACCTAGCTTTAATAGCCCTCCAGTCTTCTCGACCCCTAAGAAGTTTCTAAGTCCCAAAACCTTTGGTAAAACGACATCTGTAATGCCTCCCTCTGCGGCATAAGTGAGCAGAAGCGGAACACTGGCGATAACTATCCGTTGCATCCTATCTTAGCACGCAGCCCACCACTCAGCGAGGAAGCAGGAGCTCACTAGGAATGGGGACCTTATACCGCCATCGGATATCGAATACATCGTCCAGGAATCCAAGGAAGGTAGCAACTAAGAGAGACAGGAGAGTGGCGAGATAGACGGCGAGGGAGTGATGAGGGAATTGAAGGTCTGAGGGACCTGATGATGGGGAGGGAGAGAGGGGATAGAAGTGTGAGAGGAAGGGAAGTGGAGCGAATAGAGCGAGAATGAGTATGTAGAGAGAGGCGGCGGTCGTTCCTTGCGATTCTGGACTGAGACAACATAGATTAATTCCTGGACTAGGTAGGTGGTGAAGAAAGACAGAGATTAAACGAGCAAAGTGGGAACAGCACATGTCAGACTGTAATCTGTCTGCACAAACCCGCCTGGCAAGATAATCTATCGACTATCTGTATGGTACAAATGCTTTATACGTTCGTGAAGGAGGCACAGCTCTACGTCCTTTGAGAGCAAGCAGGAAATCACGTATCCTCATGAGCTATTGCCCGGCAGGCACTACCCTTTCTCTTCGCTTCGATCAGTGGTACACGTACATTTGCTCCGTGCTTTCCTTCAGCAGGTCCCTCCCACTTAGCCCCTTTTTCCTGAATTCCGGGGCAACCCTTGGAATGACGAGGACGATGGAAACATAAGTGACAGCAGACACGATGCCTGCCGTCCCGAGTGTGAGCGTTGTCTCGTCCAGCATGCTGGAAGGATAATGCTTTTTAAACCGGTCTACGTGAATCTTAAGAGCTTTCTTTCTAGAGAGAAGTTGGCGAATGAATCGAGGAGCTCCTGCGGTTGCTTCTTATCGAAGTCGACCCTCTGCGGCGTTGGTGCTCAAAAAAAAGGCCACGTGTCACAGGAATAATGGAAATCACATGAAAAGGTAACGCAAAATGCCCCAAGGGTGAGTCGAACACCCGGTCTCCGCTTTGCTCGAATGTGGTACAAGAGCGGCGCCTTAACCACTGGGCCATTGGGGCTACTTGAAGGCAACCTGGCCCAGATGCAACTTACAAGCAGGAACTACTCCCTCAATGCGAAGTTGATAGGCCTCTGTCTTGTTGGAGAGTTCCTTTGCCTACTTCAGCTTACATTTGAATTGCACAGACACTGGGACCCACTGCAAGTGATCCACGATCTATGGGTTAGCAGAAGAATTGCACAGCTATGGACAAATGCTAATCGTTAGATTCGACAAATTGAAAGACATTGTTTCCCATTCAAGTTAGACTTGCACTCTGCACTCTGCATCGTGAACTGCGTGAATCAAACCAGAACGCAACCGAAATCCCATAACAAACATAAACACTTCGTTATCATAAAACAACCACAAAACCCACGCAACAGATTTTTCGATCAGGGACGAGCTCCAGTCCTTTTACAGGCGATGTACCAGTTTCCGCTGATGGAAGCGAACCCGCTGCGCTCCTTCTCTTTGCGTTTCGAAGTCGCAATGTTAGGGGACAGGGGAGCTTTGCGGCGGGTTTGGAGGATAGATTCGGGAAAACCGACATCGACCACAAAAAGGTCGCCTGATCACATTTCATAAACATTGGAGGGCTCAAACAATGAGGAAAATGGCGCACCTGATACTTGTGAGGATTTGCAGACCGACTTGACAAATCCCAGACACACGGTCAGAGAAGGAACTATTTTAGTCGGGAGAAGAGGATGGACATCTATTTCGCGAAACATGAGGCACACAGCTATTGGGTCTCCATAGAGCAAAATCACTGACCTTCGATATCCTTTCCGCTCGTATCTACTCCAGAAGGAACATCAATGCTCAATATCCTTCCACCCCTGCCACTGCTAGCCGCCGTGGTGGCCCATTTAGCCGCTGCGCCTGACCATCGATCTGCCTTGGTTATCTTTGGAGGTTGAGAACTCAAAGAGCTAGCACCACCCGAAGAAGGAGAGGCCGACTGTTTGAGTTTTGGAGTCGCCCCTTTATCTTTGAGTTTGTCCGAAGTCCAGAAATCAACTTCCAGTATAGAGTCGATGATCAGATCTGAAGAACCTGGAAGGTCTAAACGTGCAGTAATACCATGGTCAATATATTTGACTATACAAAGGAGGGCGAGGAGACGAACCATCGAAAGCGTCAATCACCTTCCCACCGGCGCCAACGAATCTCTTCACAGCACCCAAATGTTTCTCCTCCGTCCCAGGTCCAAGACAAGCATAAACCCTCGAGCCCCTCGTACACAGACTCGCACCGGCACTGAGTGCCGTTGCAGTCTTATAAGGGTTCGGATATCCTTTATCACTAGTCGCGGAACCACAGAGGAGGACGATGACCGGACTAGCGGTCGTAGGGAAGAGGACGTTGTAAACGATCGTCGCTATCCCTCGTCCACCATTCTCAATCCTCATCCCTTCTTCCAACCCGTAATCGACCTCCGAAACTTCGAGGATTCCAAGCCACTCTCCAGTTTCGACTTCCACGCAAACCACTGGCTTTCCATCCTTACTTACTACAGTCACCCTTTCCCTTTCATCCTCTGTACTCAGACCGCGATCCGTATCCGTCTCAGTCTGTGGTGGGGACGGCGTGGGAGATGGGAAACGGTTACGGGCTTGCTGACTATTGGTTGAGGAAGAATGGTCAGAAAGGGATGAGGCGACATCCATCCCTAATCCGCGGGAAAGGCCGACGGACGAGGCGGATGAGTCCAGGACGTTTTCGTTGTGCGCTAGGCTGCGAGAGATGTGTTGGTGATAGGAGGTGGAGGGGAGAGGACCATCATGGTTCCTAATCTGTTCATACACCTGTGATCCTATCATTCGTCTGTTTTCTCAAGATCCGAATGAAGCAGCGAACCTTTTTCTTGTCAAACGACTTTAATCCGCTCTCGAAATCAAAGTCCTCGGCATAACCGTTTGAAACATCTTCGTTTTTCCAAGCTTGTGTACCCGCTGGTAAGCGTTGATCACGACGATCTCTTCGATTAGAGCCTGAGTAGCAGTTATCAAAATAAACAAAATTAGGAGGGAACACCAACGCGGATGACTCGCGTAGGTTTGTTGTGGCTGAACCTGCAAATACATATCAGCGTCTACCCAGCTTAATTCGTGAAAGAGGGCCAAGAATGGACAGAAGAAAGGAGAAATACAAGTTAACTTAATCAAATTCTCTAAAAATGCTTTCTTTTGGCAGGAAAAATAGTAAACAACGCACCTTTCTCTTCTCCTTAGCCCCTCCCAACGCAGCCACTCCGTCTTCCCATCCATCGCTCTCAAACGGTCTCGTGCTTTCGTCCGCCTCCTCACTACCTGGCTCTTCTCTCCCACCGCCACCTCCCCTCCTTCCTTTTCTCTTCGCTCGCTTCTCTTTGTCCCGTTCTTTATCTGGCGGAGCTGGAACTAGAGGTTGAGGTTGAGGAGGTGGAATGGTTGGAGGAGGAGAGGGAGATGGAGTAAGGTGTTGTGCCTAAACCACAGTACCAATACGGTCAATTAAGATCATTGTTTCACATACTCCCCGTAATACAAAGGAACAAATGCATACCGGTCGAGGAGATGTCTGTAAGCCCTGCTGAGTATTCGAAGGGCTCAAACCGACACTAGCCGCCGTGACTGGACCTGCATTCCCATTCCCACTTCCGCCGGCATTATCGAGCACGTTCAGACCCTTCATCTCTTCTCTCTTGATCACCCTCTCCTTCCCACCGCCCTGCCCGCTCAACGCAAGGCGCACAGTCCCACTGACAGCATCGATCGACGAAAGTGTGCCGACGAGCGTCTCAGAGTTGTGGAGGCCGACGGAGACGCGGAGACCGACGAATTGAGCCATTTATCATTCACTTCTTGCGGTGTAAAGCGGCAGGTCCTGCAAGATAAGCTGGAAGATAGCCTGGGCAGCTCGTTCGACAAAAGACAACTTGGAAGCAAATTTGTCCAAGGCGATCGTAGTGTAGCCAAACTACAGACTCTCCTCAAGATTAACACCACTGTCAGCGACGAGGTCCTCTCAAAATTGCTGAAGAATTGACTTGAAAAGCAGCGAATGTCGTTCCAAGAGCTCTCCCAAGACCCCTTCGGCCTCACATACGCGAGCTTGGTGGCCGTCGGCGGTCTCATAGGTTTCCTGAAGGCATCCTCTCTTCCTTCCCTCGTCGCCGGCCTCGCAAGTGGTGCTATCATTTCTTATGGGACTGTCAGAGCTGTCAGGAACAATAAGCAGGTCGATGTAATACTTGGTCCGTCTTCCTAAACCATTCTCTCTCCTCAATTAGCTTCAGTAGACGTTCCCGGCCTCCACTTCACGTCGTCAAGCTGCTGATGAAATCAAACTCTTTCTTCTGTAAACAGGTATCTCTGTCTTCCTCCTTGTGTTCTTCGGTCGCCGTTTCTTGAACAGCAAGAAAATCATGCCTGCTGGTTTAGTGACTGTACGTCCCATGTCTCCACAATACAATGGAGGGAAATCTGACGAATTTATGGCATAAGGCTCTCAGTGCCATTTCTGTGTTTAGGTACGGGTCAAGGCTGGCTCAGTAGTTTATTGAAAAGATGAATTCTCCATTCCGAGTAAGGACTTTCATCGTTGCCGTACTGTTGTGGAACTGAATGTGGAAGAGAGCAAAGTACTGTGACAGTAGCGTCACATCCAAGCTTACCTCTTTACGCTCAATTTGTCTTCTTTCCATTTGACAAGCTTTGCTTTTTGTTTATTTGCTAGGCTCCATATTACCATCCTGTGAGCAGACGGTGACGTTGGGTCTTTTGAAAACAACGGAACGTCTTCGGGATTCTCTGTCTTTAGCAGGAGTTCTTCAGACCCCCACTTCTTTCGATGTCTTCACAGATCTGAACTCGGCGTTCGTTGCTCTTGCAGTGCTGAGCGAAAAGCCAGCTTGACATGAAGCCCACCAAGTTTTCGTTGCAGAAGCCCTGGTAATTCCTTGCTCATGGCTCAAGTACGATATTTGGATTGCTGCTCTATCTCTTTGACCTCGAGATCCTATCTTTCGAGCTTAGCTTGCGGAAGGCGGCTAAGGCGTGAGGTTTCCTTTTGGAGGGATCCTTCAGCCAGAAAGGACAAATAGTCCTAGAACATGTAATCCTACAAAGAAGTTCTCAAGAGTTGTTCGCCTTCTAGTAAGAGCAATATTACGATGAATATTCCAGATTCTATGAATAGTACAGCAAAGTTGGACAACATGAGCGAATAGATGATGGGAGGCCGTTTCTGGACTGAAGATGCAGACGAACTCGTTCGATTGGACAAGGAGACAGGCCGCCAACAAGTCCAAGTAATTGGACTGGAAGCAGGATAAAGAAGTGTATAAAACCACAATCACGATCTGCCCAATAAACAAGCCCATCCTGGAAAGCGAAAGCCGAATGTGAAGCCATTTTGTATTCAAGTTAGAAGCGTTAATAGACCAATTATAAACAGTGTTAGCAAGTGGTGTCTCATAAATCAAGCTGAAACTCAGCACATGCATCGCTGATCCCATCGTCATGGGTTTCGTGTTCCGCTCGCCGATGCCGATGCCACCAACCTCTTTCAACCCGAAGGAGGCTGATGTGACGTTGGTATCTTGTCCGCCGAGGGATTGTCCATGGATGAGGAAGGTTTTGGAGAGCGACTACCAAGGGAATAAGCTCGTGATCGAACAGCTGGCGGACGTTCTGCATCGGGGGAAGAGAGATGTTTTGGGATGGGAGGGAGGGGTGAACCAGGAGGAGGGAGCATCGGCGGAAGTCGTGCACGGGCAGCGGACTTTGGAGCATTAATATTCTTGCTAGCATGCGTATGGATCGAACTTCCCGAGGCGGTCGACGCGACGGACATCCTTTTTGATGCTATACTCAGCGTCGTAATCTGGCTAGAAGCGCGTGAGCTCTCGAGCGAAGGAGAAGGTGCTAGATCAAGCAGGGCAGCTCCGTTGTAAAGCTCTCTCGGCGATGTCGGAGGGCTGCGACTGCGCGAGTGAGCCAGTTGAGGCTCTTGAGAGAATGACAATTCAGT